GGGATCAGCTTTTCGGATGTATCTCTTGGTACAACGATCCTTTCTATACAAAGTGTACAAAAACTGTTGCTGTTTCAGAACGCAACAGGTGATTAGCAAATACTTATTTCCAGGCGGCCTCTTTCTTCGAAGCTGACGAATCACTTTAGCTATGTCGTAAGCAATGGAGCATTGAGTTTGGGAATTCTGTCGTTAAGCAGTTTGAGAATAGTTGGAGTAACACAAACAAATACTTGCATTTTTCAGACAGAATCGAACCAGTTTCAAGGTTTTTGCATTCAATTAGAGTTCCTGGATATCTAAGTAAAAATACATAGTTTTCTTTTAAGTTTCTGCGCGAATTGGTAATTACAAATATAAATTGAGGGTCTTTAATTATTAAAGCATTTCATTTTTATACCAAACATATTTGTCGAGTTTGGTAATGTATTAATTTTTTAGAATTTTAAAATTTCAAGCAACCGTCATTCAAACCACTCATTATTCAAACATATACGTATTTATTCTTTCGGTAAATAAGTCAGAACAATACATTATTTTCTTTTTAACGAATTTAGGCTAACCACTTTCTTCAGCAGTATTGCTCTGAAGAAGGCCACAGCAAGATGGTCGAAACGTCAGTACAATTGACCGAGACGCGGCTCATCCCGGATAGCCAAGAATGCATAACCACTTTCTAGCGGTGTGAATAGCTATAGAAGTCATTCTCGCTGCCTTTCGTTGTCCTCGCCAGTTGAGGGAGCCAGAAGGCTGTGGTAAGTTGGCTTGGCGTGCGTTGCAGAGGCATGTACCAGACGGTGAGCTCGATGGTGGACGCGGGGGCGGGGGCGAGTCGGTGGAGCGGCTGGTGCGTGACGCAGACGAGCTGCGCAAGGTGGACAGCCTGCCGCCGGGCGTGCCGGTGGCCGAGGACTTCGTGCTGGCGAAGAGCGTCAGCAACTCGCAGAAGCACGACGGGGACGCGGACGCGGACGGCAAGGACTTCATCTTCGCCATCGTCTCGCAGGGCCTGCGCCGCTACCGCGTCGACTTCCGCCCCATGGTGTTGGGCGCGATCGCCGCCCTCGTGACGGACGAGCAGTGCCCGTAAGTATTGACTACATGAGGGTGACAGCGCAATAGTGGCCTATCC